AAGTAAGAGTAACACTATGATGGTTAAGGTTATGTGTCAGCTTGGCTGACCCATGATTCTCAGTGGTTTGGCAATTATGTAATGATGTAATCTGGTAGTTATATAATGATGTAGTCATCCTCCATTTTTGCATAATGTCGATTTTTGTATAACAACCTGGTCTTTGAAACCTAACCATGTCAATAAGTGAAGTATAGGTGTTTAATGAAGACCCAGACAAGGATAATGGCTGCTGAAATAGGATGAAGCAGATAAAGCTTAGCTTACCTCAGGTATTGGCCAACTTTTTTTTGTGTAAGGCCAGAGAGTAACTATTTTAGGCTTTGCAGGCCATGTGGTCTGTCACAACTACACAACTCTGCCATTGTACCTGAGAGCAGCCATAAATAGTACTTAGATGAATAAACGTGGCTGTGTTCCAATAAATCATTTATGGACCCTGGAATTCAAATTTCATAGATTTTCATAACATGAAATAGCTATTCTTTGATTTCAACCATTTAAAAATGTAACAACCAATTTGAGCTTGTGGGCCATATAAAAACAAACAGTGGGACAGATGTCACCCATGGCCTAGCTGGTTACTGTCCTCACATCTACTAATCACATCAGCATTTTGAACCTTTAACCACCATCTTTGCATGGGATGGTCTCAACATTATTAAATCACCAGATTTTATTCTTGGTCAGAACTGAGAGCAACGTGAGTAATGGAATCCCATTTATCATTGTTTCTATTCCCCACAGAAGACAACACTGAGCACATTTAAATCAGTCTAAGCACCTGACTTTTGTTTAACTGAATTACTTAGAAATGTGTTCAAGATAGTATAAAAAAAAAAAAAGGATTCAACTTATTAACCTCCTTCAAGAATATAGCTTGCCATTTTGACACGTTTTCCCTCTATTAGACATCTTCATAAATTATGTCATGGTGCCTCATGCTTCAGGTGAACATATACTTGCTCAGGAGTAGGTGCTATGCAACTGCCATGGCAATAAAGAAACAACAGGTGATGCAAAGGAAACACTTTGCAGGTGACTTGTATTTTCAAAGACCTTTTGTTATATGCATGCATAGAAATTCCAACTAAATTGGCTGCTGCCTCCTCCTCCTGATTCTCATTAAATATAATTTCACATACTCCTCCCCTCCCCTCCCACAACTGAGGCTCATCCTATTTTCCAAACTAACCCTCCTAGAACTTTGCTTCTACACTTCCTTAAGTGTTTTTTTTAAAAACAAACCAACCAACCCATTGCATTCGAGTCAAAATTCTGACTCATAGTGACCCTATAGGGCTTCCAAGGAGCAGCTAGTGGATTCGAACTGCCGGCCTTTTGGTCAGCAGACATAGTTACTAACCACTGTGCCACCAGGGCTCCACCTCAAATGTTTAGGAATTAATAATGTCTGAGAAACTCTAGTATCACAAGTCATGAACAGGTGGAGAAAATTACAGGATAAAGTCCGCCTAAAAATTTAGCTTGTCTTCCACTTCCAGAAACTGAGTAAGAAATTTGATCAATGATATAATGTTGACATCATATAAAATGAAGGACACAGAACAAGAGTCACTTTGATCCAAAACTCGTCCTTAGATATTAAGTATCCATCTGCTACCCCAGACCATTCAGAAATTTTCATTGGTCCAAATCCTCACTGCATATTTTTGAGTAACTCTTAATCCCCATTTTATTAGAATTCTAACTAGAAAAGACGAACTGGCTATATTTGAGGACAAAGAGAAAGAGACGTTAGCCATATCTCTGATAAAGTAAAAAGGAACAACTGTTAAGGAAAAAAAATGAAATCTGGGGACTCAGTTCCTTACGGCTTTTAACATCTTAACAACACACACACACACACACACACACACACACCAAATCAAGCTCAATATTTAAAGTTCAAATATGACTGTACCTAAAATAACCTACTGCTATTGTGCCATAGTCTATATCAGTTTTTCTAAAGCTTTACAGTTGTTTTTCCATTTCTATTTGTATTATAAGAGTATTTCTTTACCAGGAGCAAATGCTATCATTGACAGATGTTTTCCAGGCACTCTCATTCTCCAACCTTACATCTACTAACATTCTCTACTGATCACTTGTTACAAGGGCTTACCAAACTGTAGCAGGTAGACCCTCAACTCAGGGGAAGAGATCTACACCTGTAATGAGATGCATATTTGCCTGGGGCATTCCACTTGTTACAACCTGCATGTCATCACCACTGTGCACAACACCTACTCATGACACCTTTCCATCTCTGGTTCCTTACTTCCCCAAGGTAGGAGCTTTGATCAACACAAACTGTTTCCACCACATCCCAAAAGTTTGGAGCCAAAAAAACCTTGGCATGAGTCCCAGCATCGCTACCTACTGACAATGTGATCTTGAACAAGTTGTTTAAATTCTTCAGATCTCAGTTTCCTTATCCATAAAAAGGAGAATAAGGAAACTACCGTTCTCAAGAAGCTGTTAGGAAAATTAAGAGAGATTATAGTGAAGCACTACCAAAAAGTTAAAAGTATTCTAGGATGAATGGAGCAGAGTCTGACTGACTCACCAAGACTAGCCCAGATCTCAGGCCCAGCAGAGCAATCCTACTTTGCTGATATAATGAGTAGAGGCAAAAGCTGGGAATAAAGTAAAATGAGGGTGGAGGTAGAAGAGAATAACTCAGGTAGTGAAAAAAGGAGTGCAATCAAACGTTGGGTGAAATGGTGGCAAGACACAGTCCTCAGATACAGTCCTAGAAGCATAACAAATGCTAAGCGATATTCTACAATCCAAATGTTTCAGTGATGTGATTAACATAATTTACATTTTACAAAGTACAGTTGTTCCATACTTGTGGCCAAGTTTTAACAAGAAGAGTTTCGTTATACTGTAATACTTTCAGTCCTGTTTCCCCAGATAAACATCCCCTCACACCAGATTTCATTCTAAGGATGTTCAAGAGGCCTATCAGTGCAACCATCTGCAGGTCCTCTGTTCTCCAGGCACGAGATACACAAAGATGAAGGCATGGGTAATCTAGATGAATCATTACTTAAAATGAAACACGCTAGTTAATCTCAACCAAGCATGGAAGGCATAGGAGGTAAAAGAGGAAGAGCAATTGACAAATCTACGCAAACACCAACAGTGGTTGGCCTTTGGGCGATGGGATTAAGAAGGACATTTTTCTGCCACATTATATTTCTGTACTCTCCAAATTTTCTACAGTGCTCCATTTGGGTTTGGTTTGGTATAAATATGGACAGAAAAAAACATGAACTATCCTTAAAACCGGGAACTTTTATTTGCTAAACAGATTAGACCATAATTTGCTGTAACAAGATTTTGCTGGCATACTTCTGGTGGAAAAATGTCTAATCATGTTTACTTAAAAATGGACTTTAATACAAGCATGGGCCTCAGAAATTATCTAATGCAACATCTACGTTTTGAAGATGCAAAAATTAAGAGCCAGGGAGGTGAAATGTTTTGTTTAAGATCACACAAATAGTAACAGCTTCCGGACAAATACCCAGGTGTCCTGACTTCCAACTCAGTATTCCTTCCATGACACCATTTGATTGAATTACACTTCTCTAAAGTCCACCACCACCTGAGGATACTCTATAGCATACAAGGCACCGCAGGAATACAAAGATGGATTAAAACCTAGTCCCTGGCCTCAGGAGAGATGTTATAAAAGACAAGCTGACATGTACTCTGCCTTCATTACAGAAAACTTTACTACTTCTAGGTGAAAGGCAGCATTTGATTTTTTTTTCCCCTCCTACTACACTTCGTTACAGTGAAAATAAGGAAGACTGAAGAAAAATTAATGCCTTTGAATTATGGTGTTGGCTAAGAGCAGTGAATATACGACGGACTGCCAGAAAAATGAACAAGTCTGTCTTGGAAGTACAGCCGAGAGTGCTCCTTGGAAGCAAGGATGGTGAGACTCCATCTCATGTGCTTTGGAGATGTTATCGGGAGGGACCAGTCCCTGGAGAAGGACATTATGCTTGGTAAAGTAGAGGGTCAGCGAAAAGAGGATAAACCTCAACAAAATGGACTGACACAGTGGCTGCAACAGTGGGCTCAAACACAGCAAGAATTGTGAGGATGGCGCAGGACCAGACAGTGTTTCTTTCTGTTGTACGTAGGATCACTGTGAGTCAGAACCAACCCAACTGGCACCTAACAACAACTAAGCTTCCAGAAGGACTCTGCATTCCATCAGTTAACATTCTGGTACCACTCACAAGCTACAAATCCTCCATAATTTGAAGGGGAGAAAGCAGGGGAGTGGGAGTTATAACAAGTTAACTAACAACTTATTATCCTTCAAAACTTCACTGAGAACTTCACTTCAATTATACATTTCTATCGTCCTTCTCTAGTGTAATATCAACCCTTGCCCCTTAGAAAATAGAGGGAAAACCACTTTTTTTTTTTTTTTTTTTTAAGTGGTTCTAAGAACCTGTGATTTGGCTGCAGATGTGAGCGCTACCTAAAACCGCTGTATATACTCACCTCCTTACTGGGGCTATTCCTTCTCCTTTCGTGGCATTCAAGTTTTTTCTACCTACTTACACTTTTAGGGCCAGGTCTGACAGCGCCCTAAAAATAGTAGCACAGCCCTGAAAAACACAGAGCTTCCTTCCAGGGAACCTCACTACTGAAGAGGTTCTGCCACCCAGTACCTGAGACACCCCAGAGAGATACGTTCATCACTTCTCCAATTTCTATTTGTTCTTGCCGTCAAGGCACCTCTACCAAGTTTGAATCCTCCTTTTAGCTGACAGGACTGTGACTCCCAGAGGGGCTCACTGTGACAGGGACAGTTAAGAAGGACCAGGGGGGCTGACTGAGCGACAGAGGCAGATTCCCACCAAAGCCTATCCTGGGGAGCCATAGAATCTGCCTTCCCCACACTCCATGACGTCAACAAAAAAATGGAAAGGTTCCCTAAAGTAATATTCTAAAACAAAACTCACCTGCAGAGAAGCCAGCAGCAGCAACAGCGCCTCCGTGCCGCCACGGGGCCAGCTTCTCCAACGACTCATCGCTGCCGCCGGCATCAACGCCGTTTTCTAGCCGGCAGCCAGAAGCGGGAGGGCCGAGGGCTCTTCCTATTGGAAGGCCAAGCTGTCACTCAGCCACCCCTGCTGGCTCGGAGCGGCGGCCTCGCCCTATTCCCGGGTACCCACCGAGGTCTTTTCCGTTTCCAAACCTGCTGGGGTAGGAAGTGGAGCTCTGATTGGCTTTCTGCGGAGACGAGCACGTAGCTGGACCAGTAAGAGGCTGGCCTCAGAGCTGGTGGGCGGGCTTGGGCCGGGGAAGTAGAGAGACCAGCCCACGAGCGTCGCCCGGGCAATAGAAAAACCTCTGTCCTGAGGCGAGCCTCAGCGTTTTGGGTTTTCGAAAGCGTTTTTGCGTCTTGAGGGAGAGACCTGCCAATGAAGAGAGTGTCGGCGGAAGCTTGGGAGCGATGAGGTGACGTTTCTGTTACTCCTGGGAGACCTAGGGATTGAAACCTGGGAATGAAGCCGGGCAGTCCTCTCAGAAGAGAGCGTGTTTTGCTTGAATGCGTGATTTCAAGTCTTAAATCGTGACTAAAGCGAAAGCTTTTGAAGTGCCCACTTTATGGGCAGCAGCGCCTCCTTCTCTCTTACTGCTTTTATTGGGACTCACCTCAGGCAATTCCCTGACACTCTTTCAGTTAGAGAAGAAAAGCGATGAATGGATTCACTAAAAGCTTATGGAACTGAGGAAGGAGGGCGAGGTGGAGTAAGGAGGAGGATTATACACTTACTGAGCAGGAGAAACCTGTGGAAATACCCGAGGGCTGGCAGGAGGCCCTGTAATCTTCGAAGCTGGCCTGAACGACCAGGCGAGGTTTTGAAGCATATATGTCAGACCTTTTGGGTGGGTGAGAAAGATAAGGAGTGGTATGTTTGATGACCAAAGGGAAAATTCCCCTTCTTGATTTCTAGAAGCTGGGCTACCCAGTGTTTAATGGCTCCCTTGGAGTTTTTTCTGTTTCATCCTCATGACAAGTCCGGTAGGCTTGTGACCACAAGGAGGTTCTCAGAATGATTATGCATAAATTTGAAAAGATGACCTTTTCACATTTTGAACTAAGTGACACACTAAGTGTTGGGTTGATTAAGACCTAATCGTAGCTCATTCTGTTCCTCATTTATCCTTTCTAGAGCATGATTCCTCCTGGGGCCTCAAAGAACAGCCTTTTACTTTGAAAGAGCCTGAGTCTCAGCCCTAACAGGTCCTCCTCCTAAAGTGATAGGTGCCATTAAGTGGTAATTGAAATTTAACTTGCACAAGATTAACAAGATTTATGTTAAAAGCAGCTGGAGGAAGCTTCCAATTTTGTTGTTTCTGAGGAATGCAGCTTCCAAATTCTATACACTTGCCCACTTGCTCTTCTTTTTCTCCAGAGCAGATGAGGACAATGTGATGAGAAAGCGTTTGTACTGCAGTATAATGTCAAAGCTCCCTACTCATAGTGCCCACCATTCATACTCCGGAGGATAAAGACAGCCATTCACAAGTGGCAGAGTCTTATGGCATTTGACATTTAGGGATATTTGCTCACGACTTAAGGGCACCTGCTCATTTGGGTTTAGTTTTTAACTGTTTATTGGAGACCCAGGGAATGCTAGTTTGTCACATAGAATGTTAACAGTATCAAACATCACCTCCTCTTTAGAATCATTCCTAAGAGTATTTGGTTTATGAATAAGTGATTTTGATATAAGTGATATAAGATGGAAGCAATTTAATCAGTGATTCTGCCAAGGTGGAATTAAAAGGCAATTTTAGTCAGGAACAGGTGTGGTCCTTGTAGAACAAATAAGCACAGACAGCCGTTTGGATGTCCTCTGTTTTCCAAGCACCAGACACACAAAGATGAAGGTTTTCATCAATCATTACTTAAAATGAAGTGTGCCTCTTAAGTCACTATTGTCCTATGGCAAAACTGTTTTCCATAGATAGCTATGATAATATCACATCCTGGACCCTACCTTCTGGTCTATTTGATGAACTGTCTCCCTTATGAACCTCTAAATAAAGAGATCTTGGCTCACAAAGATGACCATAAGCCTGCTTAAGACAAAGATGAACTCCAAAGGATATTAATACTTGAAGGGGTTAAAAATTAAGTGTAGCCCCTTGATTGTACAGATGGGGAAGCTGAAGCTTAAGGATTTGCCCAGAATCACATAGCTGGTTGGAGGCAGAGCTGGCACAAGAATCCAAGATAGTAAAGAAAAAAAAAAAAAAAAGAATCCTAGGTAGCTAATTCATAATTCTGGGAAAATAGTTCCTTCTGCTGCTGCCTCCATCCTCCCACCCCCGGCAAAATTTTTTTTTCTCTTTTTTAAATTTAAGATTGCTAAATTTTAAAATTGACCTCCATTAAAACCAGTCATGAGAAATTTAATTCTGATAAGCAAGTGGTTTAGATACTATAAAAATAGTTCTTGTGTCTCAGTTCAAAACTTCAAACAACTTTTGGATAGTCCTGCTTTCATCTAAACAAGAAATAAAGCAATGAAGTATTAGATCCATGTTCTCTTTGTATATCTTTATTTCTGTCATGTGCACATTTTGAAAAGTCGATGTTAACCTGTATGCTACATTAAGGATTAGTATAGCAGATTGCCCTGTCCAGGACCTGAATAAAATGGTATTTTATGATAGCATATATACCTGGTCAAAATAATTTCACGGCTGTTTACACATAGCCCCTAGAAAACCCTGGTGGTGTAGTGGTTAAGTGCTACGGCTTCTAACTAAAAGGTCGGCAGTTCGAATCGACCAGGCGCTCCTTGGAAACTATGGGGCAGTTCTACTGTGTCCTATAGGGTTGCTATGAGTCGGAATCAACTCGATGGCAGCGGGTTTGGTGGTTGGTTGGTCCTAGGCTTGTCCAAGGGTTGAGCTGGTCCACCAAGCATCATAACATCATCACCCACTGACTGTAGCTAGTCTGCCTTTTCTTGGCCTGGCAGAGCCATTGACTCCCTCCTTCCAGCAAACTCCAGAGTTAGTTGTTTCCGTATCCCATACACAGGGCTATCTTACTAGTGTCAGGAAAACATTATGGTCTGGCTGTTTGCTGCTGGTATCTATTCTCCCACAGCACCCCACCTTCTTCAAGGTCAGATTAAAATCTGCCATCCATAAGCCAATGTGAGAGACCTACAGTGGACTCCCACTGCTGACCTAGTGAACATAGGACTCCTTTCCCAAAACCAAGAGCTGGAAATGCTCTGTGGATCAGTCATACAGACCCTCAGAAAAGACCTTAAAGCCATCTTTTCTTTCACTTCACAAGCTAAAACTTAGAATTATCCCTACTTCAGAGTAGTATTGAAGAATAATGGAGGCAACTTTGAAGTAGCACTAAACTAAAATCTGTAATTCTGCCACTTACTATAACTGTAGGCAAGTTGCTTGACCTTAGCCTTGTTTTTTATGTGAAATAGGGTTAATATCAAAATGGTCAGTGTGAAAATTAAATGAGATGACGTAGTGTGGGGCCTGGCACGTGAGAAGTGTTCAATAAATGACAGCTATTGTTAACAACAGAGTCCCTGAGTGGTGCAGTTAAGCACTCGACTACTAGCTGAAGTTCAAACCCACCGAGAGGGATCTTAGAAGACAGGCCTGGTGATCTGCTTCTGAAAGTTCACAGCCTTGAAAACCGTGTCAAGCAGTTCTACTCTGCACACAGAGGGTCACCATGAGTCGGAATCAACTCAATGGCAACGAACAACAGCAAGAACTATTAATAGTCATGATAAATGTGAAGTGTTTTAACTACCCCGAAGTGTTCTTATGATAAGAACTCAAGAAGGTCTGGGCCTGGTGTTTTCCTCCCGTTTCCTGCTCTCTGCTGAAGCAGACGCTTGGACTTCTGCAGAGGATACAGGATAGGAATTTCCCTGGTTATCTTGCTTGCTGCCCAGAGAGGCAACTGTCAGGAAATGGAGGCTGAGGAGAATACAGACCTCCTGGTAGGGCCAGGGGCCCTGGGTATTGGGAGGCCTGAACCAAGGGAGACTTCCTACTTGAAGCCTTGACATTAAGCATTTTGGGGTAGGAGAAAAGCCACGTTGATTTTTTTCCTTATTATCAGTTCCAGAAAGAAAAAACAACCCTTTCAGAAGAGGGAAAAAGAGAGGAAACTTGGAGAAAACCAAAAGAGCCAATTTCCCCCTTTTGCAAATTCTTTACCCCACTTCTCAGGAAAAAACACATTTCTGTAAATGCTCTATTTTGTGTGGTACTGAACAAAGTAGTCTCAATTCCTGCCCTGTGAAGTCTTTTTAAAGGTATGTTATGTTTATTATAACTTTATTATAATAGTATTGCATTTATTGTAGAAGGTTTCGAAAATAGAGAAGAAAAATTTTAAAACAACCATGATCCTATCACCCAGAGAGAACTCATTATTAACATTTTGTATGTCTTTCTATTTCTTCCCCATAAAGCAATTATTTTAAAAAGTCTGCAGTCATACTATATATACTGTTTTATGGCAAACTTTTTATCATGGGCATTTCCCCATATCATTTAATATTCCATCAATATACATTTCCATCATGTGAATATACCTCCAGGTACTATGTCTCATAATTCAACCACTTCCCTACTTTTGGGCACTACAGTTGTTTCAGTTTCTTGAAAAGATTCAACGATTTAACTGGGCTGTTTCTTTCTCTAACTAACAGGGTGCTTTGGGAGAATTTACTGAATCGAATGCAATGCCTGTTGGCCCCAGCCCTTTCTCGCAGAGGCTGATAAAGTAGCCAGGAATTCTTTTCTGTCTACCTGGTGTTACAGAGCTAAGAAAGGTGAAGACAGTTAAGCCTAATAGTTGCAGGAGCTTGTCCCTATTATCCCCCTCCCCCGAGGGTTTCCTATTCTTTAACCTGAGGAAAAGGGTTTAGAGGAGGGAGAATGGGGGCAGGGTGGAAATCAGGGCTCCAGTATTAACACCTCACAAAACATCTGACACATATATCCCTGTTACCGCAATAACGTGGCTTGGAGCCGCCTGCCACAATAGCCAATTCTGAGACAGGGTTGAGGTGAGCAGCAATAGGTTTTATTATATATCGGTATATAGGAGACAGAGGGGAATAGATTCCTCCAGAAAAAAAAAAAAAAAAAAAACCCGTCTCTCCAACTGCAGATCGGCTGAAAGCTTTTATAGGGACAGGATTATGGGTCTTAGAAGTTTGTGATAGTTTCCCTTTGAGGTGGTCATGTCTCAGATGAGTTAATCTTCTACTGGTATTCTTGGGGGTTATCTGGTGACATTTTTTGGGATTATCTGGCGACATCCTGGTTTTTCTTGTCACAAGATGGGTGCTTTGTTCGGTTTTCATCCTTAGATCATTATCACTTGTTTTCCACCCTCCAAGGAGGAACATCGGTTAATCTTAAACCTTTTGTAAAGACTGGAGAAACCAGATCATGAGACAATGTGGCAGTTAGCAATGGGGAGTAAATAATAGTGAGCCAAGCATGTGCAGCCTCTTCCATCCCCATTTCACAGATGAGAAAAGACTCAGATGATTTGTCCAAGACTGCACAGCTCACAGCAGAGCCCTAATTTGACTCCTAGTCTTCCTACTGAACTTTGAACCCTTTCCACTATGCACAGTACTTGTAAAAACTTATGGATGTAACTTCATTATATTCTTTTTCTGTGGGGAATATGTGTTTGACCTTCTAGGATATATTTATTATCTGCTCCCCCCCCCCGAAAAAAAAAAAAATCCAAGAATTTCTTCTGCCTATGGGGTTTCCCCAGGGATCCCTGGTGGCACAATGGTTGAGCACTCATCTGCTAACCGGAAGGGTGGTTTGAACTCACCCAGCAGCTTCATGGGAGAAAGACCTGGCCATCTCTTGTAAAAAGTACAGCCTAGAAAATCCTATGGAGTGATGGCTCTTTACGATAACAGTATGGGTTACCCCAGCTGGCTAGCTCTTTGCCTAAAGAACTTATCCTCATTCTTTGATGTAGAATGAGACTTGGCTTTTTCCCCTCACATACTTGCTTATTTTCTTCAAGTTACCTCATTGTATATACTGGAAGGTCAAACTCATAAAAGGAAGTTCTTATAAACACTGCATCAATTTAAAAACATGACACACATTTATTTTCTTAGCTTTAAGGATTTATAAAGTATGACTATATATACAGCAATAATCCTATTTTTCTTGTTTGATTCATAAGCTGCATCTGAAGGAAGTTCTAAAAGATGCTTTCAGAATTGTTTGGAGCCATGAAGTATCGTTGAAACGGGTGTATAACTTCCCCATATGACACTTTGAAGGCAGTAATTTGGATGTGTAATTTCTGGAGTTGTTGGTTAAAGCCACTTTACACAAACTAAACAAAATCTACAGTTTCAGTCAAGGGTAGTGTTTTAAAATACATTTTTCCAACCCATCACCATCCCCACCCCTGCACCCAATCCCTTGATACCACCAACTACCCTCACCTCTGGCCTGGATTTTCCCAGTAGCCGCCTACTGAGTCACTCTGAATCCACTTTTGGCTCCCCTCAGGCCAACCGGGGTGATGCTGGTAGAATGTCTTCCGTGATCATCTCACAGCTAACCCCCTCCTCCTCCAAGCTTCAGACACTGCAGTGGCTTCCCATGCCCCAGTACTGACATCTTTTCTCCTTCCTGTGGCCATTAGGCCTTGCACATGTGTTTTCCCTACTTACAATGCTGTTCTCTCCGCTTCCCTCTCTCCCTCCCCTACCCCTCCTTGTCCCCTTTGTCTAATTAACTCCTAGGCAACTTTGATATTATTGAGTGATCATTTCCCCAGGAAAACCTTATCCGCCGGCCTGGGTCAGATCTCTTAGGTTAATTACATGTTGCCAAGATACCTTTCCTTTATAGACTTAAATGTAATTTTACATTATCTCTCTCTCCACTGGTCTGCAAGCTCCAGGAGAGCTTGGATTTTGATGCTTTGGCTTACCACTGGTCCAAAGGGTAAGTGTGTGGGCTTTGGAGGCAGACCGCCCAATCCTGGCTCTATTCTGCACTAACCATATGATCTCGGACAACTTGTTTCTTCTGTTGTATGACGGCCTTAATACTGGTACCTACCTCATAAAGTTGTTATGTTATTTAAACAAGTCAACACATGGAAAGAGCTCAATAAGTTTTAACTTTAAAAAGTCTCAATGATAGATTAAGGACCCAATACAATTTCTTATTTACAGGGTAAAATCAACCTTGTTGATTTTCTCTTGTTTTCTTTTGGAGAGAAACAGTTACAGCAAACAACTGGGAGGCCCTCTTCGGGCAGTGAAAGGCTGGTCCTGGAAGATAAGGGTTCAGGAGCTGCGCTAGGTAGGGAAAGGCGTGTGATCACGTGTCAACACAAGTGCCTGACCACAGATGCTAGTTGAGTTGAGATAATGTGAAGTCTAAGAGGTTTAAAGGATACACAGAGGGGGAAAAATTAATCTGAAACATTTAGTATAAAAAAATTACAACAGAGGACAAAAGACAACCTGCTTAAAGATGAGAGCATCTTAAGCAGCTGAACTAAGCCTGGTTATGTAAAATACATTTCACTTGGGTGATAGGCATTTGGAGGCTTCTACTATCCCAGCTGGCACCCTTGTTAACAGAATGCTTTCTAGTGGCTTGGGAACTATGGTTTCTAGAGCTACTTCTTAGGTGCTATTTTATGCCCTACTTATGTATATGAGATCTATACTTTATGGAGATCTGTAACTCCAACAGGAGTGAGTCAAAGTTCTTGATATTCCCCACTGGAATCCTTACAGAATCCTTATGAAATAAATTTTGCCAATAGCCTGGCTGGCTTCATTTATGGGTAGGTTTCCAAGTGAGGAATAACGAGAATAAGGACTTTGTGACCAGTCATCATCAGCCGTGCCAACAACTTGGTGTCGGTTTCTTCATGCCAGGTGAGTGTCCTAACTAGTCTGTGACATCATCTCTCTGTAGGCATCAGATAAAGGTAATAGATAAGTCACCTGTTGGCAACCACAGAATGTGAACATTAGCAAGAGAAGAACAGTTACTCTCATGCTTGGCGCTAGTTATGATTTGTCAGGTATGTACTGGCAAAGGCTCCAGTGCTCGATGATTCTGGGTGAGATGAGGAGCTGAAAGGCAGGTGGTTGTGGCCCATGATCACTCTGACAGCTGAGGCAGAGAGCTGCAGCTTCAAGTGGCCTGTGTCTCTTCACTATCAGAAACTTAAGCAATTATTTAAAGGCCAGGCATCTATCTTGGTAGAGCTTCTCTGCTGTAAAGAATTGTTTTTCTTTTTTAGGACCAATAGGAAAGGATCTCCAAACCCCACAACATTAGGCAAAATATTAATGAGAGACCAACTTTTAACAAAATAGTAAGCAAAATGTTTTTACTTTTTAATTGGAAAAAAAATCTAAATTTGGTGTAATTCCTCTTTGCTAAACTCATCTAATTCCTTACAGTTTGCATCTCTACCTTCTTTAGAAAATGGAAGAGGAAGAAGAGTGCAAAAGGAAAAGAAGAATGCAAAACTGAGTAAAACATTCAGAAATATATAGGATCTGGTCTCAACCAAACCAGTAAGTAAATAACCAATTAGTCACTGAATGTCTCCTAATGTTTAAGACCTTGTATTAGGAATTTTGAAGGTAGTGAATTAACAATGTCTTTAGTGCTGACCATCAACAAGTTACTGTGCCAGGTGCAAGAGATAAAAAGATAAATGACGTCTCATCCCTGTTCTCAAGGAGAGATCAACTCATGAACTGTTGATAACAGTAGAACAAATATAAGCACAAGTGCAGTTATTAGGGGCTCACGGTATTTTGGCGGAAGGGTGTTACTTAAGTGTGTGTGGGTAGGGCAAGAAGAAGCTGACAGGAATATGAGAAATTTAGATACTTAATGGAAAAGACTGAGGCCAGAACAATGTTAAAATTGAGCAGCATTCCAGTCTGATTTGCACAATCGTTTTCCCTTCTAAACACCCAATAGTGCTAAATTGCATAAAAAGAGTACATCTAAAATATATTGTTGGGTTCAAAAACAAGATAAACATCTCTGCAGACCAAAACCAACAGAAACACAGAGGCAAAGGGACGAGAGGCAGCAGTGGAGTCTGGAATCCCTGCCCCCACCAGGTAGCAGGCAGGCTCTGGAGAGCACTGCTCTAGAAGACGGGCCAGAGCTGTGCTCATTGCTGAGGGGTGAGCTCCCTCTCTTGAGAGAAACTAGGGGTCTGGAACTGCTGCTACTTGCTGCTTGGGACCATGGCTCACCTCAAGCTGAAGCAAAATGGAGGGCTCAAGGACACAGACACAGCCTTCCCACCAGCAGCTGGACCAAGCCACCTCCTGGCTCAGATGCTGGTCTGGGATAAAGAGTAAGTGGAGACTTAGACACTGGAAAGCAGGTGCTGGTAACCTGGCAGGGGCAAAGGAGACAGGAGAGCGCTCCCTTTGAGCTCCTTCAAAAGTATCCTTTTTTGGCCAGTATTCTTAAGGAAAGATGTTGACATAGTCATGAAGACTGAGAGGCTAGGGGGAGCAGTATGAAAGCAAGGCTGGGTGACTGTGGAGAAGTCAGTCCAAGGGAAGCTTCCACAAACAATCAGCCCTGTCACCTCCACCCCTTGCCTGACCACACCCACAGACTAACTCCTCCTCTGGAAGAACCTCAATATGCCTCTTACAGGAAGACATGGGATTTGGGCCAGTAACTGTGCTTTACTGGCTTCCCAGGACACTGGCTAATTAGAAACGTTCTATCCTGTTGTTTCTATAAAGCAACTCACCTTTTTTGGATCAAATATCCTGATTTTTTGCTTAGAAAATGTAATCTAATATGACCACAAACAGGACAGGGAAGAAACAGAGAAGTTTACCTTGATAAGGAGTGGATGAGGAGGCAAAGGGACGCCTGAAGGTTTTAGGTATGCTCCGGACTCTCACTGTCTAAGGAGCCACCTCCCCAGGTCCTAAGGAGTTTGAAAGAAAATGTGAGAAGGATGATATCACTCAAACGGGACTGGAAGCTAACTCCAGTGAATTCATTGTGGTCCAGGGTTTGCCACTCAATTTTGTAGACTCAAAAACTCAGTTCACCATTTTGTAAGCTATAAAAGGCAATGATTCCCTTATTTCCAAGATTTTAGTGATGCATCTTTTTGTTGCTCCATATACCAACCAAATCGCCATTCTGTACATAAACTCACTACTCTGATCGTAGCAAACTTTGAAACCAGTATTAAAAAGTGGCTTCGTGCTCAGGAAGTAACCTCCCACCAGTCTCTAATCAACTGTTCTTGTAAATAATAAATTCAATTTAATATCTACCTAAAAGCCTGACCCAAGCCATGGTGTTTTCAGTTGCTTCATATGCATATGAAAGCTGGACAATAAATAAGACCATAAGAAGAATCAATGCTTTTGAGTTATGATGTTGGAGAAGAATATTGAATGTACAGTGGACTGTCAGAAGAACAAACAAATCTATCTTGGAAGAAGTACAGCCAGAACGTTCATTAGGAGTGAGGATGGGTAGACTTTGTCTCACATACTTTGGACGTGTTATCAGGAGGGACCAGTCCCTGTAGAAGAACATCATGCTTGGTAGAGTAGAGGGTCAGCGAAAAAGAGGAATCCTCAGTGAGATGGATTGACACGGTGGCTCCAACAATGTGCTCAAACATAGCAATGATTGTGAGGATAGCGCAGGAATAGGTAGTGTTTCATTCTGTTGTGCATAGGGTTGCTATGAGTCGGAATCGACTGGACGGCACCTAACAACAACGACAACAGTGAGTGCTGTCTGTGTACATTTGCTGACTGTTAAGTGGCGCTGAAATCATGGCTTTAGAAACGGTCTTATTATTGCACTTTGGAACACCATATTACATTTTTCCTTTACTGAAGAGATGCACCACCAAAATCTCAGATATACGAGAATCATTGCCTTTAATAGTTTATAAATGGTGAATTGAATTTATAAGTCCATCTAAAATAATAATAATAACTATTACTACTGATTCTTGCCTCTCGGGAACATAGTGACATAAAAGAGGACTGGAGACTACATGTTGCATGATTCCATTTATATAAAATTTCTGAAAAAGGCAAGATTATAGAGACAGAAAACACGCCAGTGGTTACCTCAGGGGTGAGAGTGGGGATTAACTATAAATGAACACAAGGAAACTTTTTGGGATGATGAAAGTGTTCTAAAGCTAGATTGTGGTGATGGTTGCACAATTGTATAAACTCACTAAAACTCACTGAATTGTACACTTAAAATTGGCAAATTTATGGTATGTAAATTATACCTTAAAAAAACTGTTTTAAAAATAAAAGATCGTTGGCTTTAGAATCAAACAGATGTGGACAGATTCCTGGCTCTACAACTTACTCAGCCAGTTACTGATGAGTCTATTCCGACTCACGGCGACCCATGTGTGTCCATAGGGTTTTCAGTGGTTGGGTTTTTGGAAGTAGATCACCAGCCCTCCAAGGCGCCTCTGGGTGGAGTCGAACCTCCAATCTTTCAGTTAGCAACCAAGGATATTAACTCTTTGCACCACCCAGGGATTCCCTGCTATTTACTACTTGTGTGATATTGGGCAAATTAGTTAACCTCTCTATCTTCACGCTCCTCACATGTAAAATAGGAATAATCATATCTAGCTCTGGGCTGTTGGGAAGATTAAATGAGATAGTGTATGTAAAGTGCCTGCTATATACAGATGCTCTGCATGTGATAGTCCTCTTTCTCTCCCTGTGGTATATAATGAGTGTTTAGCTGTATGGACCGGCCACCAAACACCTCTGTGTGCTGTGTATTTAAAATGGTTCGGGAGCAGCTGTCGCTTCTTGTGGCTTTGGTCGCTAGATCTTGACTCTGTTGTGCCCACTAATTACTCCCCCATTTCTCTTCTTCCTTTCTCTGCTAAGCACCATCATCAGGCATCTTACCTGTATCTCTAAGGTATTTCTCACCACCGAGCCTTTGCACATGCTGTTCCTTTTGCCTGGAATGTGTTTCCTATCCTAACTAACCCCTAATTATTCTTTTTATTTTAAGAATTTTAAAATTATATAATGTTTGAAACACCCCCAGAAGAATTGAGAATAATATGTAAACACTGTGCATCTACCATCCATCATGATCACATCTTCACGTTTGGCCGTATTTACCTCACAGCTTTTCAGTTAGACAAGTCTGTGGGTTAATTCTGAGCCCTGGTGGTACAGTGGTTAGGCGTTTGGCTGCTAACCCAAAGGTCAGCAGTTCGAGTCCACCACCTGCTCCTTGGAAACCCTATGGGGCAGCCTGCTAACCAAAAGGTCGGCAGTTCGAGTCCACCACCTGCTCCTTGGAAACCCTATGGGGCAGCTCTACTCTGTCCTATAGGGTCACTATGAGTCAGAATCAGGGTTTTTTGTTTGTTTGTTTTTTTATGGTAGGTTAGTTTACTTTTTGGTTTTGTTGAATGTCTCTCAACTTGAGTTTAATGGTTTCTCGTGATTGAACTGAGGTTGTGCATTTTAGGTGAAAACACCACAGGGATGGTGTTGTGTCCTTCTAATTTCATCGAATCACAGGGCTCGTGATGTCAGTGTGTCTTTTTACGGGTGGTGTCGACCTTGGTCATTTGGTTAAGAAGGTTTATGCCAGGTTTCGCCACTATAAAATTACTATCTTTCCGTTTGTAATGAATAAATATCTTTGGGGAGATATTTTTAAAAATTTAAATAGACATTGTGGTTTGTTGTTATTGTTGTTTTTGTTTCTAGAGAAATTTGGGAATTACAGAAAAATCGTGCAGAAAGTACAGGGAGTTCCTACAGACCCCCTTGGGGAGATAGTTTGTGCAAACTTTATTTCTTGTCAAACTTGCACCTACTAATTTTAGCATCTTGGGTGGTAACTCCTATCTGCCACACTCTTTACTGTGGTGTTTAAAGGTGATTTTCTAATTTTCTCTTTTCTTTGACATTTACAATTGGAATTTTACCATAAGGAAGACCTGCCCAACTCCCTTGTTTATTTTATATCATCATGGACTCCTGGATATTTATTATATTTTATGGATTAAAATCCAATACTGTGTTTATTTTGCTGTTCAGATTGTTCCCGCTTTGGCAATTAGGAGCTCCTTCAGGTTGTTGTTTTTTGGTTTTTGGTTTTTGGTTTTTTTTTTTGGTGGGGAGGGGGCAGCATTTTCTTACTTTCCAGCCCCACAAGATGTTCCAGGATCATCTGGTATATTCCCTAGCCTGGGATCAACTATATTCCCAAGAGGCCTGCTTCCTTTTATTGGAGAATAGCATTTAGAAACCAAGACAAGAATACTAGGTGTGAGATTGGCTAAAATGTAGAAGTCTGACGCTTTCAAGCTGGTGAGAATGCGGAGTAATTGGAACTTCTCTGCTGGTGGGCATTGGAACAGTCAGCTTGGAAAACAATTTGGCATTCGCTAGTAAAGTTGTAGGTGGCACCCGTGATGAACTAGTAATTTCACGGCTGGTAAATACCTTGGCAAAACTCTTCTTGCACAGGCCTAACAGGAGTCCTATGCAGCTTTGCTCGAAATAGCACAAACCTGAAAATAACCCAGATGCCCATCAGTAGGAGAATAGATGAATAAAGTATGGTATATTCATAAAATGGAAAACCTTAAAGCAGTGAAAATGAGTGACCTACAGCTAGACACATCAACAAGGATGAATCTCAGATACTCAGTGTTGAGCAGAAAAAAGAATACATGTAATAGGATTCCATTTACCTAAAGTCCAACAATATGCTAAAATTAATATATATATTGGGATGTATGTTGATGTTGTTGTCATTGTGTGCCATTAAGTGGATTCTGACTCATAGCAACCCTATAGGACACAGTAGAACTGCCCCATAGGATTTTCTAGGCTATAATCGTTACTGAAGCAAACTGCCACATCCTTCTCCTGTGGAGCCACTGATGGGTTCGGCTGGCAAACTTTCAGTTAGCAGCCAAGTGCTTAACCATTGCACCACCAGGGCTCCTTAGGGACACATAAGTGTGTAATAAAGCTAGAAAGAAAAGGGAACAAGAACTACAAAATCCAGCATAGAGGTTACTGCTTGTGGGTAGAATGCAGTTGGGCTTCAGAGGTATTGGTATTATCATATTTCTTAACCTTGAATGATAGGTTAATGGGCATTCATTTTATTTAGATCATATATGTTTTTGTGTATGTGTGTGTGCAGTATTGCATAATGAAGAAGGAGGAGATGAAGGAGGAGGGGTCTAGGAGAAAAGAAAGCAAGAGAGGAAAGAAGGAGAAAGAAAAGAGTACTCTTGTACATGATATCTTAAGATCTGGGTTGTGGTTCAGATTCTGACAACAGATATCTGTGTGGCTTTGGATGAGTCACTGAACTTCTCTGAACCCCAGTTTTCATACCAGTTGACTGGGAACGATGTACTCTGTCCTGGGTACCTCACAGTGTTATTGTGAGGATGAAATGAAATATTTATACCTATATACTTGTACTTAGAAAAAGTAATAAGTGCTCTAAATTTTTTTAAAGAAAATCAATACTTCAAATTATCTATTTTCTAATGCCAAGAATTTAGTGTATTTCGATATTTGTATGTATTTCAAATGTAATGACTGTGTAACTTAGCTTCTCCTCACTGATTTCTCTGCTTATGCCTTTCAAAAAGATCAGTTTGCACCCTTGACACAACTCGTAGAAGAATGGCTTAGCCAGAACATTTCTGAAGCTAACTCAGGACTTCGGCAAGGGCTTTGCTCACGTGGGAAGGGCTTTGCTCACGTGGGAAGGGCTTTGCTCATGTGGGAAGGGCAATGTTGGTCTGCTCTCTGGCAGTCAGAGGAGAAAGCGCATGTGAAGGCCTAGCAATCATCATCAATATACCAGCTACCAGCCATTGAGTGTGAGCCTGGGTCTGAGCTAGCTTCTTCATACTAATGATCTCATTTTATTTCTCATAACAGTCTTGAAAGACACATCACAGTCTCCTCATTTTACAGAGGAGACTATAGGGCCTCAGAGAGTCAAGGCAATGGCCTGAGGTCACCAGGTGAGTATAGGGGCAGATTTCCTCCTCAGGGCCGTCTGCACCAAAGCCTGCCTCAGGGTCTAACCCAAATGCTTGTTGATCACCTGAGCTCTCCTTCGAGATCTTAACACCTCACAGGTGCAGTCCCAGGGCTGCTCAGACTCCTAGTCACCAGGCAACAGCACAGATAAATCTCTATATTATTAATGCATCTAATGGCTTGAATAATTCATTATAGATGGACAGAATCTTCCTATGGTAGCTGAAGGATCCCAACGGGGAAAAGAACAGGAAAGATTATCAAACATTTAAATATACAGACTCTGCCTCCATAGAGTCTTGATGGTGTAGTGGTTAAGAGCTCGGCTGCTAACCAAAGG